GGTTTCTGCTGCGCGGGGCCCACCTCCAGCCAGCGCCGGTGGCAGAAGCCGCCCTGATGCGCTCCCAGCGGGGAAGTTTCAGCCCTGCTGATTGAAACGCTGGAATTAGAACCATTCAGCGTGGAGCTGGAGCCCCACGGGTGGCGGGGGAGAACACGTTTCAGGGAACGCGCACCTCGTCCCCTCAGGAAACGATGAGCGTCTGAACGGCGTATGTGTCAAACCTGCTGCTTGACACCGACGCTCCCCAGCGTGCCCGCGGTTTGCCTCGGGGGACGCCGGGCCATGGCTCCGTTGGAGGGGTGGGCTCGAGTGTCAGCCAAGGCTGGCTTGGCCTCGGGTGGGTGACCCGGCTGCCTGAGTGAAGGAAGAAAATGAACCAGAATCCGGCTCTCCCTTCCAGGAGTTTTCCTTCAGCGAGAGCTGCTCAGAGGCCCATTCACAAAACTAAACCGAACTCATATTCCCTTTCATGGGTGACTGGCCTCTTGACATGACACAGTGGTTTTGAGGAAGAAAGGGAAAATACCACAACGGTTTGGGAAACAGAAACACTCAGCATCTATAGAAAAATTGTTACGCTGCCAAATAATCCAGCAGCAGCCATGAGCCAGCTTTCCTCTCATGGCAGTGAGTTGCTGCAAGTGGATGTTTCATCTGCTGGCGGAGTATTATCCTAGCTGAAGAGAATCCAGCTGCCAGCAGGTCCAGCTGCAGACCTTACAGCCTCAAAGCACGCTCCGTTCCCAGGAGCTTGACTGCCTGTCGCGGGGGGAGACCTGCCTGGCACTGGGCAGGGAGGCTCTCACCGCAGGTTCAGCCTGGGCTGGCTCTCTCCTGGTGAGCTTGGAGTAACCTCAGCTCTGATCTTCACATAACAGTGCCTGTATCAGTTCAGAAAAAACAAATAAATTGGCAACCATGGAGACCTCTAACCAGAATACCTTCCAAAATCAACACTGAAGGTGTTCCAGCACTGGGTGGTTTTCTTCCTGTCCTTCTAGGAGCTGCTGTAAGGTCCCTTACCTCACCACTGCGTGCTGCAGCATGAACTAGGATGACACTGCACCTTGGGCTGAGCAATGCTGTCTCGTTCAGTTCTTACAAAATCCGAATAATACCAATCCATTCCCCGTAGCTATGTTGGAATGACGTGCTTACTCACCTGGCATATAACTGGCTTCCATACTTGGCAAGGATGCATCCTCCCTTCTTGTGCATAGTTTTACAGTCACACTGGGTAGAAGGTCTGTAAAATACTCATGAAAGACTCAAGAAAACGACCATTATTTTCCTTTCCTGACTGAATACCCAATCTGATTTGGCCATGTTTTCCTTTCCTCAGTTGCCAAGTCAATCTTTAATGTTTTCTTCCTACTATCTCGTAGTTAGGACACTTCTGAAAATCAGGAGTTTGAGCCGATTTTTGTTGAGGTGTGCTGGTTTTGGCTGGGACACAGTTTCCTTCAAAGTAGCTGGTGTGGGGCTGTGTTGGATTTGTGCTGAACACAGTGTTGGTAACAGGGCCGGTTTCATTATTGCTGAGCAGTGCTGACACAGGGTCAGGGACACACCCCCCCTCCAGCACATAGGCTGGGGGTACACCAGAGGCTGGGAGGGGACACGGCTGGGACAGCTGACCCCAGCTGTCCAAAGAGATATCCCAGACCATATTCCATACCTTCCTCCAGTAGGAAGGTGGGGACTTGTGCGGAGTGGTGGCGTTTGTCTTCCCAAGTATCCATTATGCGTGAGGGAGCCCTGCTTTCCTGGGGATGACTGAACAGCTGCCTGCCAATGGGAAGTAGTAAATGAATTCCTTGCTTTGTTTTGCCTGCCTGCATGGCTTTTGCTTTACCTGTTAAACTGTCTTTACCTCAACCCACGAGTGTTCTCCCTTTTACTCGTCCGATGCGCTCCCCCATCCTGCTGTGGGGAGTGAGCGAGCGGCTGTGTGGTGCTCAGTTGTCGGCTGGGGTCAAACCACATCATGAGGTGAGAACTAAAACCAATTCCTCTGTCAGTCCTGGGAACAATACATAGGAGCCTCGCTGCTTAACATACAGCTGTGGTTACTACTCCTCAGGTAAATGACAGAAAATACAGGACCTGTGATATCAAGTATTCCAGCAGCAGGGTGGATCCAGGCCGTAATGTTCAGTGAGCCAAACTCTGCATGTGTTTCATGCCCTTCCTCGAATGCAAAGACCACAGGCAGTGGTTTTAAGTAGTCATCATTTGCTTAACTCACACTTGGTTTCCCCCAAGGTCCTGCACTGCTGCCCCAACTGCATTGCTTCCGGTATCAATGAACAGTTTTTTATGTGAATTTTCCTGTGGTCAGGTCTCCACTTGACTACTGGGCGTTTGCAGTGCCTGTATGCCTCTGCCACTCTCGTTCTGTGGGCTGGGGTGGCGACATTTTCGACTGAGCTGGGCACTTTGAGCATTTGCTTGTGTCTGTAGACAGCGCAGTTTCTGCCCTTATTTTTTTTTTTAATGAAAAGAATTTGTGCAGGGAAGCAATTTTGTTTGCTCTCTCTCTGACTCATTCTCCAGTGAATCACGCTGTGCTTCGTGCTTGCACGCTGTAAGGAACTGCTACCAGAAATCTAACGTGGTTTGAAAGTCTTTGCAGCTGTGCTCCCATTGCCATTGTGATTGCTCCCACTGGGGAGTAAAATAAGTGGCACCAGCATTAAGTTTCTGAACTGATATAACTGTTGTTACGAGTAATTAAGTTCACAAACAAACAAAAAAAATCCACCAATACCCTTCATACCAAAATAGTTTTACTGGTAAAAAGCATTTTAAGCACAAGAGGAACTGAGTGGCTTTCGCTGTTTGCATGAGGGATTACCACAGTGTTTTGATCTAATAAAAAAAACACCTGGAATTACTAAATCTGAGATTACAGAAAAAAACCTGCTCAGGAAACAGAATTTTCAATTTCATTAAGACTTTTTTTTTTTTTTTAAGCATAACAGGATGTTGTTTAACAACTCTGCAAATAACACACGCAGTGCAAAGCTGAATCAGATCTGCACGTTTTTGCCGCAGGAGTGTTTCACCGGGCTGTAATACCGGTGCCTGCCTTAGATTACACAGCATTGCAAAATTTCCCTAGAACTTGGCAAAGAGTGCAGTTGCATCCTGCTGCAAAGAGTAGAGCTTGTTGCCAGAATTTGAAATAAAAAACAAGAAGTGTTCGCTGTTTTTCTTCAGGTGCCCCAATTTGTTTTACTAAGAGGAATTTGCGATTTTCCCAATTACACTGTTGCCCTGGCGTCTTGTATGGAAATGTCACTGCCTATTGATATGATCTCACGAGTTTATTTCCTACTTTCTGGACTGAGAGACTATCCACATCCATAGAATCTGTGGGTGTAATGAAGGACTGGGCCCATTGCAGACTACGGGCTTTTATCTTACAACCCGTGAATCAATGTGAGTCTAGTGCTGGGGTTGGAAAGACGGAGAGCAGGCTGGAAGCCAGGAGTTGGCTATTCATATTGCAGCTTTCGATCCTGGGAAACTGATTGGGTTGACAAACTTGGTCTCATGTTTGAAGAGACACTAAGAACCTACTTTGACAGCAAGCCAGCTTGATCACGGAGCCAAGCGTTTCAGGGTCAGAACATACCTCTGTATGTGTTTGCGCAGATGTGGATAGGCCAGGACTTCAGCAGCCCTCGAGGCCAGGCAGCTGGTGGTGCCTAACTTTCCTGTGAGAAATGGAGAAATTTCTCTCAGGAGTGAGAAGTTTGCCTTCAGGAAAGGGAGCTAGGGAGGAAAGGAGTGTCAGCATCTTTTTTAACCAAAAAGCCAGCGAAGACCTCTGCTGACACAGACTTTGGCTAATGGTCAAACAAGAGCAGAGGTGATTGTCCCTACCCTTTTTTCCCAAAAGAGCACAGGCTGGTTTATCATTAACAGGGCCAAGCTGATCGAGTAACCCACCACAGCCAGTTTTGCCTGGACAACCCTTGTAGTGGACTAAGAGGAAGATGGTTGAGGATCCGAAGAGAAAGCTGCTCGTTGCTCTTGCTGTCCTCTTGCTGCTCAGCTCAGCACAAGCAGGTAAGCAAAAGATGAGTTCCTGGCAAAGGCCTGAAGGTTTTACATAGAAGGATCTGAATTCAATTCTCCCTAAACAGCCTGTATGTCAAGTGGTCCTTGCTATCATCTAGTTAGATGCCAGGAGAAAGGAGTGCTGGTTTTAATCGGGACAGAGTTAATTTCCTTCACAGTAGCTGTGATGAGGCTGTGTTTTGGATTTGCCCTGAGAACAGCACTGGTAACACTGGTGGTTTTAGTTGTTGCTGAGGAGTGTTTGTACCAATTCAAGGACTTTTTCAGCTCCTGATACTGCCCCTTTGTTCCCAACTTTCTCATTACAAGCAGTGGGGACACACACACACAGTTCAGACAGCCGAACTGTCCATAGCACGTCATGCTCAGTACATAAGCCGGGGATGGGCTGGGGGACCATAGTTCGTTTGGTCGATAGTTAGTTAGTTGGTGGGTTGGTTGGCTTTCTTGGTCGTGCTGTTGCTTGGGGGACTCACTCGGACTCTGCTGCCATCGCTCTCGGGCTCTGGCTCTTGGGCTCTCTGGCTCTGACTCTCACTTCTTGGGACCTGGCTGTGCATCGATCGTCAGCTGGTGACCAACTGTATCACTTGTTTTGTTTTCCATTGTTTTCATTACATATTAGTATTGTTAGTATTATTGTTAATATTATTAGTATCACTATTTTATTAATTTGCATTCCATTATTAAATAGCTTTTATCTCAATCCACCAGCTTCCTTGTCTTTTCCTGCCATTCTCCTCCTCCCCTGGAGGAGGAGGGGAGATGAAGGAGCAGCTGCATGATACTTGGTTGCTAGCTGGAGTTAAACCATGACAAAAGGGTAGTGCAAGAATGGTCCTTTCTTCTCCTGTGCTTTGATTCAATCAATCTCAGTGATTTAATTCCACTAACCTGATCTAAAAGAATGATCCGGGTTTACCCTGAAGTGTAAGGAAGGAGAAAAGGGACCACTTGACCTCTGGCACTGGCTACTCCTGCTTTGAAGGCTTAGGAAGTGCAGTCTGCAGCAGTTGAGAGAAAAGAAACAGATGCCACACGTCCATTTGTCTCTTTAATTGTACTGTCAATGAAAACTACTTGTGTGACCGTCACTGCAGGCCCACATCACCCGCAGCTTCACAGCAGGGCACCTCCTGCCTTACCTTCACTCGTGACCCCCCTCATCTTACAGCACTGCTGACGTGCACCGTGCTTGCACGGACCTGCCCTTGCTCGTTAAGCTGGCTCAGGACCTGTGTCTTTTCCGAATTCATCTCCAAGAACATCTCTTCCTCTCTTGCCTTCAGTACACAGGATGACCAAATAAACAGCAGTAAGGGATAGTCACATCCCACAAGGGGGGATCGGAATGTTGAACTTCATTTCTTGGTGCTGACCCCGAGGCCACGTTCTGCCTAGCTACTGTAAAGGGTCTTCTATGGGCACGGCCAGCTGTTAGGAAACCGGTTGTTGGATTTTCTGAATGTTTTAGAATTTTTATTTCACTGTACATGCAGATTCAAGGCTGTTCAGCTTCCTCTGGTCCAGAAAAGGAAAGGTGCACGCTGTCATTGCAGTAGGATGCAACTGTATGCATTCATAAAGTAACATTTTGTAGGTCAGAAGGGATCATTTAATCAATTATTTGGCTTCCTGCGCATCGCAGGTTAATAAGTTTCACGCCATTGGTCCTTCAGTACATCCAACACCTTACCTTCAACAAGCCTTCCAAAAGAGCAGCCAGTCCTCTGAAATGGCAAACAATGGAGGATCCAGCTCTTCTGTGGGTAACCTAGCTATACATACTGCTTGCTATACAAACTGCTAAACGTCTATGTTTGCTTTCTAGCCTAAATTTGCTCAGTTTTTTACTGGCTACAGGTTTGAGATGACTTTTTTTTTTTTGGCTATCTGGTTCAAAATGCCTTCCAGCAGCTGCCTTTTCCTTCCCATAAAGCACTTTCATCCAGTAAATGAACCGATCAGGAAATCATCACTGACACATTTTGACATCAGCATTTTCACAGTTTGTCATCAGCATTCTCATATATTATTTCTGGATTTTTGATACATTTGTCAGTTAGACTTGTACCTTCACTTAAGCCTACCAGGAATTGAATAGAAATATCCCCACTGAGTGGTGACTACTGGATGGCAACCATTTTTTTAAATGGCCTAATAGCCAGCTCATAAATTTGCTTAGTAGGTGGTGCTTGTGGCCAATTTGGAAAAAAATCCCAACAGAATGTAATCTGTATCGCAGTAAAACAACTCTGAAGGGGCTACAAGGAAGCTGGGGGGGACTTTTTACAATGGCCTGTAGTGACAGGACAAGGGGTAACGGGTTTAAATTGAAAGCAGAGAGGTTTAGACTGGATATCAGGAAGAAATTCTTCCCGCAGAGGGTGGGGAGGCACTGGGACAGGTTGCCCAGAGAAGCTGTGGTTGCCCCATCCCTGGAAGTGTCCAAGACCAGGCTGGAGGAGGCTTGGAGCAACCTGGTCTAGTGGAAGGTGTCCCTGCCCATGGCAGGGGCGTTGGAACTAGATGATCTTTAAGGTCCCTTCCAACCCAAACCATTCCATGATTCCATAATCTCTCAGAAGACAAAGCTACCATGACATCCACTGTTACTTTCCCAGCCAGTGCTGGAATTCCATCGAAGGACAGAAACATCTTTATCTGACTGACAAAGTTTCCAGAATAAGTTAATTTTATGTTCTATCCTTTAAATATTTATCAATAGATGCGAGATCGCTAATGAATTAGAATGAGCTTTTTTTTATCCATTTCACAGACATGGACTAAATACGCTGCTGTTCACTCCGTCTCGTTGCAGGGAATACAGAGAGACTCTCAGTGCATCACTGCACTGACTTCCAGACAGCAAATTTCCTCCGAGGCAGTAAACTTAAGGTCCGGTTTCTTCTATTCACCTCCTCAAGGCCCAGCTGTGGCGAGCTGCTTTTAGCTGATGATGGCATCAAGAATTCCAGCTTCAACAGCAGCCTGGAAACCAAGATCATAATCCATGGCTTCAGGTGAGGGAAAGAAGAGCACAGTGACTAAGTTTTTAATGATTAATTAAACAGTTCTTGGGCATTCCCGAACACCGGGTGGGGCTGGCACGGAAACCCCCTGCTCGTGCCACCTTCTCATTCTCCGCAGCAGAGTGGCTGCCTGCTGAATCCCTGCTGAGAACAGTTTGGGGTGCTCAGCCCCAAACCGGATCTGGGAATTGTCTGGGAGACCATTGGTGGGCCGAGGCCAGAGGCATGGAAAATGCAGCTGACAACCCTCATTACAGCAAAAACTTCAAGCCCTTTAGTTTGTGCCTGTTCTCTATGTGTTTCACATTTTTTGGAGCCTAAAAGAAGTAAGGAAGTTATCTTTCTTGCTCTCTCGCTCTCATGTGTTTTCTTGCTCATTCTCTCGTGCTCTCCTCTCTTACCTCTTCCCTTTTCTTTCCTTCTTACAACCTTTTTATTTAAGTATTTTCTTCAAGATTCTCACCTCTTTAAATTGACTTCTTGGAGCTCATGTCCTGATTTATCAACAGCCTGGAATAGTCAGGCATTTAGGAGCCCTGCCAGACACTTTATGCTGCTATTCTTGAAACTGTAGGGATTTGACCCAGGTTTTTTTAGGCTGTCGCCATTCTGCAAGCTTATTTTGCTGTGCCATTTTTCTGCCAGATGTGACCCTATAAGTTTGTTTTGATGTTCAAAAGCCTGAATGGAAAGTGCACAGAAGATCACGATGAAACCACAAATGTTGCAGGGTCTTTTCAGAAAACCAGCTGTTGCCCTGATGTGACATAGCACACCCCCCACAAGGTAGTGTTAGATGAAGTGGGTAGGACACAGCGTCCTCAGTTTTCCTTGAATTCTTGTATATGTAATTTTTTAAAATTGTCTACAGATGAGGAAGTGGAGCAGTGAAAGACCAGCTGATTTGACCAAAGCCTTCTCTGCCAGTCGGTAGCAGAGCAGGATCCAGGGGTTCCTGGGCAGCTCACGTACTCCAGATGGGGCCTGTGGTGGCTAACAAGCACCACAGCGAGGCTAAGCTCTTAGCCTGAGCCCTGCAAATGTTATCATCTCTGTCATTAAAATAGCTGGTTCCCTTCTGGATCAGCCCATTCTGGAAAGTGTTATTACATCACCATCACCGCAAAGAAATGTCAGGCGTGGGTGTCTGGCACCAGAAAAAAACTTTTCAGCAACTGTCTGGCAGCCTCCTCTGAGACATGTGAAGCTCCAGCACTAGTGAACAACATACTGGCACGTGCCCTGCTTTGGAAGATATCTAACATACTTGTTTCTGATGTGTCTGCAGGGCTTTGGGTACCAAACCTTCCTGGATTGATGGGCTTGTCCATGCCGTACTGCACACAGCCAATGTGAACGTGATTGCAGTAGACTGGGTTTATGGGTCCACAGCAGCCTACCCCTCCGCGGTGGAAAATGTCACACAGCTGGCCCTCTCCATTTCACAGTTCATCAGCAAACTCCTGGTAAGCTACTGTGCGTTTCCAGAGAACATCATCCATGCAAACAGTCTAGAGGACTGCTCCCAACCTGCTGTCTCCAGGAGCTGGATAAGCGGGCTCTTTATTCCAGAGTGAGTGCTCTGTAGCACTGAAGGGATTTCTTTTCTCCCCTCTCTCTCAGTTCAGGCTTCACCATGCCACTGTTTTTCTATTTTCTCTTGAGTTTTGACATTTTCTGGAAAATATCCCAGCTGCTTCTCCAGCCCAGGACAAACCTGAAGAATGCCTTCAGTTTTCTCAAGTCCCTGCTTCACTGGGCAGTCATCTTCTGCCCAGAAATTTTGTCCAGGGAGCTGGAGAGGCTGGAAGTTGAGGCTATTTTATATTTGCTTTGGGCTTCACATACACTTTGCAGTAGCTGGAAATCCCCAGATGTGTCCCAGTTCGTTCATGCACAGCACAGCTGCAGGACCCTTGGGCAATGAGGGCGATACCTCTTTGTGTTAACCAGCTCTGGGTAAACTCCGTGTGTGGTGTTTGCTCTACAGACCCAGACCACACAGCGTGGGAGTTCCTGGGTGTGCACCGCGTTGTGCACACGCGCACATTTCTATCCAGAAACAGAGCAGCCCTTGGAGCCACTGTGTCACTGAGGGTGGGGAGAGGACTGTCACCTCTCATTAGTGAATAGGTTACACCGTGAACAATGACTGGGTGTTGACAAGGGGCAGTGGCTTTAAATTGAAAGTGGGGAGATGTGGATATTAGGAAGAAATTCTTCCCGGAGAGGGTGGGGAGGCACTGGGACAGGTTGCCCAGAGAAGCTGTGGATGCCCCATCCCTGGAAGTGTCCAAGGCCAGGCTGGATGAGGTTGGAAGGTCCCTTCCAACCCAAACTATTCTGGCATTCTGTGATTCAGACAATGTCCCCACCACGTTTCAAAGCCAGGAATTTTCATCTTGCCCTCATGCTTCCATGCACTATTCAATGCCCTCCCATTGTATGGCACTGTCATGCAGACCAGCAGGCAGGCAGCTGGATTCCTTTGGGTGGGGTCATCTCACAGCCACGTCTTTGCTGTGCTTTACCTGACAGTTTAGCCAGTGGATAAACCCTTAATCTCTGAAAATATAATCTTAAAATAGTAATTGGAATATTGGTACAATGGTGGTATAAAAGTGTAAAAAAAAAAAAAATTGCTCTGCTTTACTGAGAAAAAGATTATTCACATGGTGAGCATGGGTCACTGCTGAGAGGGGGAAATTCAGTCCGAAGCGAGCTGTGGAAAGAGAAGCTACGGGCTGTGCAGTTGTGAACAGGAGCACTTGACCAACCTGGTTAGGGTTGGGTTCGCAGCTGTGAACCTGAAGAAAGACTCTGAAAAACAGAGAGCAACCCACCATTCCCACACCTATTTGCTTCTCCACCATACACCTCAAAAGCTATCCTATATGAGAAGAGTTACAGAGACGGTGCATGGGCTGGCACGGGGTATTTCATCTTTCTGCTACAGCAACATTAATTTGTGCTCTCATCAACCTGCAGGCCCTGGGAGTCTCAGGGACGTCCATCCACATCATTGGGGTAAGCCTCGGGGCGCATGTCGGAGGCCTGGTGGGGCACTTCCATGGCGGCCAGCTGGGACGGATAACAGGTATTGTAAAACTGAGTCTTAGGTCCTCACCTGCTCTTCAAGGGGGAGAATGAGAGAGCAAGGAAGTGGAGTCATCCATAGTGATCCTTTAATTGCATAAAGGCTCATTAGATCCAAGCTTACAGGCTTCATCCCAGCTTCAGAAGATCCTGACCACGATTTTCTCTCCATCAGTTCCCCCCACACTGCTGAAAGAATATATGTAATTTGCAAAAGGGTCATCTGCCTCACCTCCACTCTTCAAATTGGTGCCAGCTTAAAAGAACATGAAACCTCATGACTCATGAAACAACACCACACCCACGTGCTTTGCTTCCACTTCAGAGCATGTATCCTTCTGCGGTTCTTAAAATTGAAGCCCACAATGCATCTTGTTGTGTGGGAGCACCAAAAATGAGCTGCTCTGCAAGAAAAAGCGAGCTGAGAGCCAAAGGGAGATGTCAAGGGGCACAGTCCTACCCTATGTGGGTAAGAAGAGCAGACCAGGTCTGGTGACAGGAACCAGGGTCATCTGCAGTCCATTGATCACCAGGCAAGTCTGTAGTGATGAGGCAAGCCCAAGGTCGAGCCAGGAAGTCAAGTCATCCAGCTAAAAGCAGAACCAGCAAGATACAGGGCTAGGTATGGCATCCTTACAACACAGCTCAGGCAAGGCCCAAAGGCAAGAGCCTGAGCCAATGTCGGGAGGCCCCAGATGAGGCTTCTTGCGGCTTTCTCCAACGAGGCATCTGTTTTCACAGTGGACTGGCCTAAAGTCACCCTTAGTTGTAAAAATCAGAGCTGCCCTTAACACAGAGACCCAGACTCCTGGGTATGAGGAAGAGGTTGCAGTAGGGGAATTACAGAGAAAGATGGTTAGAGGCTGGTCATGGCATTTGGAGCTTTTTGGGTTCACTTGAGGCCTTTTCAGTCTTTGGGCATGGAGTGTGAATAGGCTCACAATGATTTAGGTAATAAGGGACCTTGGAAGGTCTCTAGTCCACCACACCCCACCCCGCCACCCTCAAAGCAGGACTGCCTTCTAAGTCGTATCAGGTTGTTGAGGATCTTGTTGAGTTCTGGGAACCCCCAGGGATTGAGATTTATTTTGACAGAAGGGAAAATACCACCAAGAAGGAACAGACATGAAGTTTCTGGTAGAGTGACCACAGCTCTCCCGTCTGCCTCAGCCCATGTGGTCTGTCTCACAGAGGTACCCTCAAGGAAGCTCAGCAGTGCAGTCCAGAGAAATGTGGGTTCAGCCTTCACATGTCACAGCTACCCACAGTGCCTGAAAAACAGGCATTTCTTAACAGGAGCTGAATGTCATGCCAGGCCCTTTTTTAAGCTGTGAATCAAAGTTTACATTAGGAGGTACTTGGAGTAACCACTCTCCTGCACCAGGATTTTATGATCAGCAATGTCTTCAGATGGCCAGAAGCAGACACTTGCCCAGGAAAACATGGTAATTAACTTCAGAGTCAGAGACTCTTTTATGTTGTCTACATGTAATTAAAACTCTGTTGGTTCATTTATTCCATTGTTTTTTAACTCTGCTACAAGACCACCCTTTTTCCACATACCTGATTGTCCTATGATTTCATAGGCCCACTGGGCATTGCAGGTTCTCGTTCAGATTTAGGAGCCTGAAGATAGGGGGAATTAGACCCAAGATATGGCTGAACTCATCTCCTGCCTCCTCATGCACGTGCATACACACACACACACAGAGGAATGTGATCCCAGAGCCATAATTTGCTGAAGTGTTTTCAATCACCTAAAAAGAGCCGTGGAGCAAAACCAGAGCGAGTCTGGGAGATCAGCTCACAGGTTTCATTTTTATGAAGTGAGTTTCTTAAACACGTGCCTGTTCCTCTGGATGCCTCCCTGTGAAGGAAAGCAAATGGTACAGAAACTGGAATGAACAGCCCATGTCCAAAAATGCTGAAGAGCAGTTTGTCTTAATATTTGCAGAGGAAATTAAAAGGCCTGAAGGAATTCAGTTGCACGGGGTATAGCCTCAGGGAATAGTTGTAGCTGCTGGGGATGTACACCTCAAAGGAGTTCATGCAGCTTGTGCTTGGAGGAGGTAGGCAGGGAGAACGGAGGGCAGAAACGGGCTTGCCTCGAGGCTGTGCTAGAACTGACCGCAGCTCATAGCAGGTGTTTCTCCCTCCTCGAGAAGAACCTCAGGCTATACCGAATGCCACTTTTCGGTATCTCTTAAAGCCTTTAACTAAAGCGTGGTCTGTAGAAGTAGGTGGGGAACCTCTTAGCTTTTTGTGCGTGTCAAGGTTTATTTATCAAAAGATTAGGAAATTATTTTTTCCTTCTTTCCCTTTTCCTCCTTCCCTCCCCCCTGACACAAATACAGACACATCAGTTTGTACATAGTTGATATCGCCTTCTCCATAGAGAATTAAGGGGACTGAGTCCAAGGCAGCGAAACTGGCCAGCTCTGAGGCTACGTGGCATGTGGAGCAGAGCTGCTGCTTAAATTATTGTTGCCTGAGGAGTAAAACAACTCTTGTGAGATTGCTTTTCTGCGAAAAGGATAAGCCTCAGCCAGAACAACAACAACAAAGATATTTAACCTGTTGCTTGGTATCGCCAAGGATAATTTTCTGTATTTCTTTGATGGCCCAGAAATTGCTCCAGGAGAAAATTTTAGGCAAAAATGTAGATGTCTGTCTGCTAAAGGACTAGATTTTATTTGTGAGGAAAGGGGTCAAAAGGCTCTTTGTTTCAAGGATGTTTTATAGGATCAAACCTTTGTAATGCTTGCATTGCTTAATGCCGGGGATGCTGAATTCATCACCCAACTGATGATCTTCAGTGGTGTTTCTCAGCCTGTAGTGCTAATACAGATGACAGTACAATTAGGGAAGGTGTTACAAGTGCCAAACTAAAAAATTCCACCAAAAATCCAAAAGACACTCTGCACCCACTCAATCAGGGGTATATTTCAGCCTAGAAACTTGAGGCACAAAACTGCTAAAGGGGAGCGGGATAGTGGAGTACAAAGTAAGGAAGCCTTAGAGGAAGTGAGCAGGGGTAGAAACCATTCTGGATCATAATCAGTGTAACCTGGGTATAATTTTTCATTTTTGCCTAGCAACATTTTTGAAGTTTTGGGTAAAATAACTGGTCCAGAAATAAGAAAGAGAAGGGCTGAAGAGCACTTGTTGAGGTGTTTGATTTTCTTGTAGGCTTGGATCCCGCAGGCCCTAAGTACACCAGAGCCAGCCCTGAGGAACGCCTGGATCCTGGGGATGCCCTCTTCGTGGAAGCCATTCATACCGATGCTGACAGTAAGCTGGCTTCCATTTTCGGCCTGTGCTTCTGCTCCTCCTGCTGTCATTATTTCTAAGGAGTGTGTAGGTCATTGCCCCTTTTATGCCAGGTTACCATAAGTTCAGTTTCACTCTGAGAAGATTTCTTGATTAGATAGGTTTTAATGATGAGATCATTGGCAGGCATCCATACCCCAGAGCACTTTACAGCAAGAGGGGTGCAGATTAGACAGAGGGCAACCGTCTGGCAAATACTTCTTCCTTAACCCTGCTACAGCAGAGTGAGTTTATGTGGAATCAGCCCGACACGGCTTTTACCACCTGGAAGGATTACAGGTGTGTTCTCACTTTGCTTTTTCCCACCTGATGTAAGAAAGTTGCCACTGTGAGGAGTAGTGGAAAGTAAGAGTCAAACCAACAGCTGGTGCAGCAACAGAGTAACTTTTCTAAAGCACTCAGGGTCTATGTAGGCAGAACTAAAGAATGATGTTGTGCCTTTGGGTCACACCTCTTGCCTGGAGATCCCAAAAATGCCCACCGACATAACGCTCAATCATGTCTCATAACCCACCATCAAGGTTGTGGTCAGTTTTGTTCTCCTTTATACGGAATTAAGAACCTGAGTCACAGAGGTGGTGGTTAAGCCACAGTTGCCAGTCATTTTGACAGCAGGGCCTGGAGCACTCTCTGCTCCATGCAACAAACCTGCATAAAGCAGGCATGTAGGAACAGGAAATCTGTCCTTGCTGTCTCCAGCACTGAAGCTGGGGCCAGCACTTTTAATATTCAGCCGGTTACTGGGGCCTGTCAAACACCATGTAGGGTAAAGCCCATAGAAGACCCAAACGTATGCATGAAGTGGCCTTTCACCTTCTTTCAGATTTCGGGATCCGGATTCCTGTAGGCCACATTGATTATTTTGTCAATGGAGGAAAAGATCAGCCAGGATGCCCCCGATTCATCTCTGCAGGTGAGAACACTCAAGGAAAGGGCTTTCATGGCCATTTAGCAGCTTGCGAAAATGCTGCTTGGAAATGCAGACATCAAAGGAGACAACATGTATTTGTAAAGACACATGGCAGCAGAGGTTCATCACCCACATCTCTCAGCAGTACAACAAGCAGCTGAAATTAAAATCACATACAGGTCGGGTGCCTTGGCAGCACCATTGTCAAGAGATGTGATTTTGGTGACACTTCTGTATGAGTCAAAACCCTAGCATCAGTGGTTTGCATCAACAAAGAAAACATTCTTGCTAGAAAGGCTCTTTGCTACTACTAGCAAAACTTCTTCCTGTCTTCAGGCTGTGTCTGTTCTTAGAGAGACAGCTTGGGCAATCACTGCCTTTTCCTTCTAGTGGATCACGCTTTACACAGTCAATAGCATGGATAAATATTCAGATACGTTCTGGATGAGGCAGCTGCATCGAGGGTGGGGTTACAGGGGACACCTGTGGTACCTCACTTCCCACAGCTGTGGGAAAGCTACTGTAGCCCCTTGCAGAGAGCCTGGGGCCTCATCGATGGTGCACCGACAGAGGACACGGCAGCCCTGTGGTTCCCCTCTCCTGGCCTACTCTGTTTGCCTGGGAGATACACTTCTAGCTTCCTGCATACCTTCTGCAGTGAGGTCTGGGCTTGTAGTCACAGGGCTGCTCTGCAAAACGTCATTAATAGGAAGGGGATGGCTGCAGAATCAGTAAGAGTGTTTCTTGTCTCTCGATTCCTTAGGAACATGCAAAAAGACTGAAGCCAATGGAGAAGCTCATGGCTGCTTTTCTCTGGGTGCATTTTTCCTTGCAGGCTATAAGTATCTGATCTGTGATCACATGAGGGCGGTACATCTCTACGTCAGTGCCTTGAAACACTCGTGTCCGATGGTGGCATTCCCTTGTGCAAGTCATCAAGATTTTTTAAATGGTCGTTGCCTGGACTGTGTTGACCCCTTCTTGTTCTCCTGCCCCAGAATAGGTACAGTACCAGCATGAGCCCTTCCTGGAGCACATGACAATAGATTCCTGGTGGCTGTCAGTGCAGAGCACCGTGCACAGTTCAGATTTCTCTGAGCAGGATTTGCTTTGGATTTCTTTGGGGGATAGTGAGAATCTGTTTAGTTTTCAGGCTTCTATAGGGACGCTCTAAAAGCTCATATATTGCCCAAGGTAGAACACCAACATCTTAAACATTTCTCATCTCTAAACATTTCATAATTTCATAAGGCCCACAGATGGGTTGAAAGAGAGTCTCCAGAATCACCTGCCTCACAATTAGGCAATTAGCTCAAAAAAGTGTCTTGTTTAGAGAAGCAGCTGGAAATTTTAGCCAGAGCCTGAAATCCTATTCTTCTGCAAACCACTCATTGTTGTGGTGTCACCTCCCTCTAATAAATTCCTGCCATGGCCACCCCAAAAGCTGAACTCCCTGGACTGGGAGAAAGTAATAGTTGCCTCTTTTAGGCTTCTGAAACTGGACTGTGGCACAAGAAGTGTCCTCTGGTGCTATTTGCAGTCTGGTACCAGAGGAATATAAGGAAATGCCTCTTTTGGTATAGGTGCTCCCAAATCAGCCACCCCTTCCCCATCTCACCAAGCCATGTTGTCAGCTTGTCAGTGGTGCGGGCCCCAAGTTATGGTGGCCTTCTCACTTGATCAAGAAATTCAGTTTCCCAGCACCCTGTGCTTGCATTGTCATTTACATCTGCACTAAGTTTCCTGACGTGGTGGTCTTTATTCCTGCTCATTCTGCAGAGGTGACACAGGTGACAAAGTTTGTTAGCAGAGGAATGAAACAAAGCCACCAAGAGGTACTCTGATAGTGATTACGTGGGGTAGCCAGAACAGGTTTTCTGAGGGGATGTTAACCTGCCAGACAGACACCACAAGCCTGTGCTTGCTTGTATTTGCACTGATATAAAGAAAGGGTCTGTCCTCCGAGAGAGCAGAGTTGGAGGGGGGTGGGGAGCGGAGGTGAACTGGAACCAGTTATATTTCTGTTCTGGGTCATTCATGGCTTTCCCTGTATTTCCTCCCACAGGCCTGCTGGAGCAGGCAGGTGTCAACATTAGAAAGCTCCCCAAGGAAGTGAAAGTTTATTTAATGACCAGTCCTTCAGCCCCATTCTGTGGTAAGTATTAAAAATGAGTCAGAAAGGGGGTGGCCAAACGAGGCAGATTCTCTGGAGTGGCCGGGTAGCTACAACCCACCATCCCCATCAGAATCAGCTGCTGTGTCCCAGATGGTCTGAGACACACAGCTGAAGAGCAATAACCCTGCATACCTCCTCCATAAAGCCCTTTCCAGTGGGTTTAATAGTAGGGGCACAGCCCTGGATTAAGACAGCCACATGGCTTCAGGACTGAAGTAAAGGGTGGTGAAAATGCCTGTCTGTTTGCACTGGATGATGTAGACCTTCCCACTGTGACTCTCAGGCCACAGAGACTGGTTTCTTTCTTATGTCTATTTAATCTTCTTGCTGCTGGTGGGGCCAGGGAATGAGTGCTAGAGGCCGCCTTTGGGGCGGGGGTAGGTCCAACTAATAGTATTTGTCCTCTCTCCCACATCCTTTGCCTCTTGCTCAGTCCATCACAGCCTGGTTGAGTTCCACTTGCAGAAGAGAAGGAACACAGTCACCAGCATCGAGATCACTTTCCGCAGCAACAGCACCAAGGACACAGCGAAGATCACTATGTGAGTGATGGTACCTGCTTCTGGCCTGTTTTGTCCCAGCTCAGTGTGTAAGGATGTTCACAGCAATCCAGCAAAGGCACAACGATACCGTATCTGCCTGAGTGCAGTCACTGTGTCATGAACCACAACCTTTCTTCTTGTGTCCCTCCACATCTTTTTTGAATGCTCTCAAGATCAGGCATCTGCTACCATTGCTGGGTAACCCTGGCTAGGTCCACCTCTTCCCAGAGTGCACAAAGCAGTAGACACACTCTGGGATCCCCAAATTTGCATACTGTTGTCTTGCTGTGCTGGTTCCTTTTCTACAGCATACCCTTGCCTGGTGCCAGTTCAGCCCACAGTCACTGTCGGACAGCTATTAGCTCCGCTCTGCCAGACTTGGCTACAGCAAGACCCCATCCACCACAGGTTCCAGACTGACAAACTTGGTGGCTTAGACATTTCTCTTGATGCGCAATAGGACAGCAGTTGCAAGGAGGAGACAAGTGCATCTCTGCACAGTCAGAAATGCGTTCAGCAGCTTGCTGCTGCTGCAGAAATGCAGCAAAGCTCTCAGGCTCCCATTGCAGGGGGAAGCCCAGGGGGCAGGGGACCAAGACCACGTGTGTAGACAGACAGATCTCTCTTGAAAGCACCACCCTCCTCCAAACCATATCTGAATTAAAAAAACAGAATCAGAATCCTGTTCCAGAGCCCTTCTCCCCGGGGGATCTCCCCACCACAGAGAAAATCCCCACAAGAAGCCACTTCTTCCTACACCTTCTTGCCCACTGCTGTGAGCTGGGAACTCCAACACAGACATGCTGCGGGCTGAAAAACAGTCTGCTGAAGACCCCTGCCCAGCTCTCCTAGGATCAGAGGGGTTCCAGTGCTGGCTCCCACACAGTCCTTACTGCCAAGCCAGTGACCTGAAGCCAATTGTGTTGCTGCTTCAGTCGTGGGCACCAGGAGGTAGGGGTGAGACCCAGGGAAGGGGATGCCACATTCCAGGGTGCTCTCCAGCATGACATCGCTGCTCAGTCACAGATTTCCAGCCAGGCACTGCGATTTGGGGTTAATACTCCGGCCTGGCAGACTCAGTCTCTTCAAGCCTTCCCCAGCTTGCAATCCAAATCTGCCTTTTCCAAAGATGCAGGAGGGAGGGCCAGGTAAGATCCAGGCCAAGGCAGGACCCGTGATTTGCTTGGGAGGACGTGCAGCACTGGGTTTTGCAGCGCTGGACACAGGGTTTGACAGGTGAGCAGCAGGAGGCATGTGAGCACTGGAGAGAAAGGCTGCCTGGGGAGGGGAGACAGAGGCAAGCCCGAGGCTCTGCTGCACCCCCAGGTTTTAATGGGACAGTAGAGTCGTAGCAGGGTAACCTCCCAAGAGATTCCCTTACCCTGGGAGAACAGCAGCTCTGTTTCATTGAAGCACATGGCTAAACTGAAAAACTTGCTTACAGCAACAAGCTTATGGATTTGAGAGTACAAAAAATGAAGATATTCCTCTTAATTCACGCCGTAGCAAAGAAACTTCCTGGAAAACTCTAGGCAAAGCTCAGCCCTCCAGTGCAGGCAAGCTCAGAGTGTCAAAAGGGAATCTAAACACAGATTCTGACATGGCAGATCAGACCCTGATCGATCATTTACTTATTTCAGCTGCTCTGGCACGCACATCACCCTGCGGTTCCCCAGAAGTGCACAGGGATTTCCTTGGGGGTGTTCAGCCAGCCTCATACCTTCGGCAACTGACTCACACGGTTGCCTCTTGCCTCACGCTGCCTTTCTCCTTTCCCAAACATCAGTTCAGGTCTCGCTCCTCGGAAAGCCGTTACCCCACAGATTGCTGTGAGTGCCCCAAGAGACATGCCCACAAGCCCCGTGGCTGCCGTGGGGCTGACAGAGTAAGGAGCTTGTTACACAGCACGCTTCCTAGCCACATTGCCATTGCTTACCCGTCACACAGCATCAGCCCCTGTATCCAAGAAAAGGTACTTGGGAAGGCAGAGAAGA